ACAAACACAGTGGAGCCATCACCCAGAGCCCCAGTTTCCCAATTTAGTGTTGTGCTGACAGCACTACAAGAGCAGCAGATGAGGACTGTACAGCTTATTTTATTTTCACTCATCTGCTGGTGTAAGCTATGGAGGCTGCTTAGCAAGGCAGGAAGATCAATGTGTTTCACTGTGCAGGCATCACCCCATGTAGACAATCCATGGGCAGAACCTTGATGGACCTCTCCAGGGCCCAGGAAACCCAGCACAGTCATCTCTGCTGGATCAGCACCCAGCCGCACTGACATCACAGCAGCCTGGAGAAAGAGACTAATTTATTTAGTCACAGAGATTGGGGTGGGTGTTTTCATTCCTCCTCTGGTCTTCCTGGAAGAGCAGCTGGACTCATCTCTGTGTTTCAACAGTCAACCAGAGCTCCTAGTACAGGCAGAGAAGAGAAATGGGCACAACTCAACTCATCCAAGGGCAGATGAGCTGTTTTGCGTGTGTCCAGAGTGCCAGGGCACGAACCAGCCCAAGATGAAGGGACATTCAGCACTCAAACACAGTGAACCCAAGTCAGCCCTGTGACCCTTCCAGCTCATCTCCAAGGAAATTCTGCATCATGGGCTTCACAAGCTGGTATGGGCACCAAAGCCCATAGACACTTGGAAGGTGCCTTCATAGAAAAGCTCAGACCAGGCAGATGTCACCTAATTAGATAAGGAAAGTGTTTACCGTGATCTGGGAGAGCCAGGCACTGCCAAGCACACGATGGACCTTGTCTGGCTCAGTTTCCTGCTCAGTTTAACTCCTCTAGTGCTGGGAGCCAGCCCTGGATGTCTGTACCCAGTTGTCAGTGACAAATACGCACTGGCTTGGTGTCATGATCCGGCAGGCAAGCCTCTGACATTCCATAATGCTCTCCCAACACCAGCCCTGGTGGCACTTTCAGATGACATCATTTTCTGGATCTTTGTTAAAGCCCTTCTCACCTGTAGACTGTGTTTCACCTTCTTCCAGCCCAACCAGAACCTCCTTCCAAGCAGTGGTTTCTACCACACACACCTCACCCCTCTCTCTGCAGGGTCAGAGGTGGACAGGGCCACTTGTTATCACCCAGTCATCAGCATGGAGAGCCCAAGGCCACCCCACTGCCAGGGGGTTGTCTCCTCCTTGGCTGTGGGTCTGTTCCTGCTGTCATACAAAGGGCAGCCATAGAAAGCCTCTATACAGGGTTAAATGAAGCAGTCATGAGGACCATAGGTGGTCACCACATGGAAGACACCACGCTGATTGAGGGCAGTAGTTCCCAGCCTATAGTACCTCATTCTCATAGAAGGGCCAAAAAATCATCCACAAAACTAGCATTCACCATGAATTCAAAGGAATGTGGGACAGGCTCAGCCTGGTAGCAGGTTGCCAACTGGCAGCAAGGAGGGAAGGAAGAGGTCACGGCAGTAAAGTACTAAGGTAGGGGCTGGATAATCTTGGGGAGGGAAAAGGTAAAAGAGTCAGTGTTATTCACCTGCATTTCTTCCAATTTCTTTCTTTTGCTCAACCAAAAATTCTTAAAAGCTTTGCTTGGAAAGAGAGCACTTAGGAGAGAGCCACACGACCCCACAGAACCTTTCCAACTGCTTTAAGGCATGAATCAATTAAAGCAATCACGGAGCAAAGGTTAATCAGTAGCAAGTACTTCTTAAGAAATAAGTCGTCTTTTAAAAAGAAATTGCTCTTGCCAATTTCCCTCCCCCCTTCCACTTCTTCCTTTTCTAAAGTGTCTTTTATTTCTCCAGCTCTGGAGACCTTCCAAAATAAGTTCAGTGATTAAAGGCAGCTGCTGAAAGGATGGGGCCGAATCATGTGGTGACAGCCAGGGCTGCAGGAGCAGAGGACTGGACCTGGAATTGTCACACAGTCTCGGTGCCATACAAATGTCTCAGGGATTGAAAACCTTCCAGGAGCTTCCAGCCTAATTAAAGCAGATGGAGGTTGGAGAAACAAGGAATTGCTCATGGTTGCACTGGAGAACAGAGGAAGTGGGACAGGAGAGTAAGGAAAGGGGTGACTCCAATGCATTTCAACACAAGCAATGAGACTCCAGTACGAGCATGCAGGCATACGGTGATGCTTTGAGCTGCCCCTGTGCTGTGCCCTGCTTGCAGATACATTCTTCCTTCTTCTTGCACCCAGCAGTGGAGTTGACATCAAAACTGCCCCCATGGGCAGCAGCCACAACCTCACTCACACATGTGCACATTTGCCCCATCTCCCTACCTGCAGCTCTTACAGCGCACCACTGTCACGGTTAACTTCTTGCTCTTGTCACCTTTCCACCCAAGTGTTGGCTTAAAAAAAAAAGAGCATTCCCTTGGCACCAGACCTGCAGAGGACAAGTCCCCAGACAGGGTTCCTCGTGATACAGCATCATGTGCACCCACATGGACTGCAACTGCCTGACCACCAGAAAGGACCTGGGCCAGGTGGATGGAAAGTCTATCCTGATCCTGAGAGCATGTCCTCATCATGCTTAGCATAGCATGTTCCCTGCAGACACCACAAAGCTTTGCACAGCAAACAATGACCAGCATGAAACCAGGATATGGGCATGTTCAGTCTGATCAATCCTCTGAAGTCTCAGTCTTTCTCCTTCTCTCTTTTTTCTTGGAGGAGACAAGAAAGGGTTGAAATGCAACAGAAGCCAACGTCCTCTTGGTGAGGACAGTCAGAGGGAACATCAGCCAATGCCACCCTCCATTTACTGTGATCAGATGCCAACCTTTCAGCTACCAAAAAGCAGTCAGCCATAGCTCCTCCTTGAACACTGCTGGGAAAGCAAGGTCTAGCACATGAAGAACAGGATGAGGAGGAGATGCTGAAGAGATGAGCACCTGCAGGCAGAGGCTGCTCAGCTCTCTCACACAAAGTGTCTTGGGCTGGAGCAGAGGCTGCCCTCAGGGCTCAGCCCACCATGGAGGCACAGTCCAGGCTGCAACACAAGTTGTGTCTGCTCTACCCATGACAGCTTCCTTTCTTTCCTTCCAGCAAGATGTGGTGCCCAAAGGATCTTCCCAACTTCTTCTCCTATCTGGTCTTTTAAAAAGTAGTCCAAGACCCTCCTTTATCCCACCCCACAGAGGTCTCTCGGGCAGTCCTACAAGCCAAACCATAGGTGGTGACTTCAAGATGAGGTTACAGATCCCCTCCTCCAAAACATCCCAAGACCAGGTGTGGACCAAAACAAGCCATTGCTGTGTGCACAGCATTGCAGGGAGCAACCATCAGAGAGGTCCCTCCAGCCTGGGTCCCATGCAAAGCCACCAAGCTGGGGCTTTGTCTCTGGGCTGGATCTGCTCCGTGCTGTGAGGAGGCAGGAGCACATATCTCAATTGACGGGTGGTAACTTCCAAAGCCATCTGCCTGAACGAGAGCTTCTGGGCTCTCACATGGCAAGGAAATGAAGTGCACATTGTCAAAGGGCCACAAACTGAAAAAAATGCTTTCTCTTATATTTTGGATTATATTTTATCACACTAAGCACCACTCTACGGTGACAACTCGCACTGTGGCCCTTTGCGAGCTGTAGGTAGTGTCACAACAACGTACCACCACCAAGTTTAAAGAACTGAATTTTCATCTCCAGAAATTACACGTGAAGGTCAAAAGACATCATTTGATCACCTCCTCAGTCCAATGCCATGGCATAAGAAAGTCACTGGACTGGTCGTAAAAACCCAGCTTTGTATTTTTTTGCAAAGTTTCAAATTTCCCTGGAAATCTTGTACACCTTTTAGACATTTCAATAGGAAAGTTGGAAAGGAAGGAACAGCTTTGGCTCCCTTCATGTTCAGAACATTTTTTTAATTAAAATCCAGCTGGTCCCATGGTACATGATGCTTTTTTTTGTTGTTGTTAAATGCAGCTTAAAAGCTTTGAGCAGCTGTAGGAAATTATTTCCATTCCCTCCTTCCCTTCCACCTGGTATCACATGCTGGAGGAGAGGTCCTGAGACATGTTGAGCTGTGAGATCAATATTCCCAAAGAAAGCATTGAAGTGAAGAGGAGGTGCAGCACACCATGGGCTGGAGCTCCAGCTGATCAAAGTTTGCACTATCCAACCTAGAGCTGGCCTTGTGCTAGTCCCCAGGTTCATATCAGCTCAGCACCTGACCCTGAATTAAAATTCACTCTTTCTTAGAGGTAAAAATTACCCCATTTCACTGCCTACAAACAACGTGGAAATATTCAGACAACAACAGCAGATTAAAGCCAGGGCCAAATCCTGCTTTCAGCTGTGAACGAGCTGCTCTCCAAAGAGTTGCCCATCAACACTCCCAGGGGAACATCAGTAGTGGGGCAGACATTGGACCAGAAGGATTCTCCCAGCCTTTCCAACCAGGTCCTGATTATTTACAGCTGTTCCCAGATGTTCCCCTTGCACGGGTTATTTGTTCCCGAGTCGACCTCCCCATTCACACATGAGGCGAGCCCAGGGTAAGAAAGAGAGAGGCTCCTTTCTCCCTTTTACTATGGAAACAGCCCTTTATCCCAAGCATTGCAAATGCTCAGCCGCTGTTTCCCTCCCACTGCCACCCCAGCTCCAGCCACCCCACTGACCACCCACAGCTCACATCTCACCCCAGCTTCCCTTTCTCCCCTCAACAGGTCCCAGCCAAGTCATCCCAAGAGCGAAGCGGGACTGCTGAGCACCTTCTCCTTCCCAACCAGCCATCAGAAACCTCCTCTGCTTCCCAGTCACCCCCTTTGCTCCCCTTTTGTTACCGATTTTCCCCATTCTCTGGCTTTTTGGGCTTTGTTTCTCGCTGCCATTCAGTCAATTGCCCGCAGTCGCATCCCAACGAACACACTCAAAAGTCCAAAGAAAAAAAGGGGAAAAGTCAAAGAATCGGCCCCCCTCGCACGGTGTTAACTTTTACAGCAGGCAGGAAAGAGCAGGCAGGGACGCATTTCCCCGGGCAGGAGCATCTTTACGAGTTAGGAGAGAGGAGGTAACTTACCTCGCTGGGATGCACATGGAGGGGTTATTTTTGCTTTCTGCAGCACTTGGGTTGCTGTGTCCTTTGCTTGTGACACTCCGGGACCTGAATGGTGACACTGCTGTGTGACACCCGGTATTAGAGAGGCTGCTGGAGCCGTCCCTCCCACGGTGGGAGGGGCCACGCAGGGCTTGATAAATTCAGTCCCCAAGGCTGGAAAAATTAAAATCTCATCATGGGACACAGGCAGCTGCTCACCGCATGGCGCTGGGAGACGCTGGGGACTCATGGGTGAACCTGGGTTTGATTCATTGCTCGCCCACCCTGAACAGGAGGGGTTGGTGTTCAAATCTCGCCTCGGCAGAATTAGGCATCCAAAGGATGGGGTCTGACGAAATATCTCAAAGAGGATTTGGGCAAGATGTGTGGTCACTGACCCTCAGAACTAACACTTCTGAAACTCCTCTGTGAAAATGTGTCCCGCAGCTCTAAGCCTCGGGCAGGAATCCATTGCACCAGATTTCTGAGCAGCCCCTGATGTGAAAACTGCTTATTTTACTTATTATTTGCAATGGTTTGGGGCTTTAATATCTAAATCCTATTAGAGACATAACTTCCTTTGGAGGGGGAGAGGGGGCAGTTCAGCACAACAAAAGCAGTTTGTGCGGCTGTATTTTGTAACCTCCAATGTGTCCTGGACTTTCAGAGAATCATCCGTAAAGTTTCTCAGACTGGAAGCTGATCAACCTCGTGGAGCTCCTCCTGTTCCTAAAAAGCTCTTCATTGCATGAGAGGCTAAAGAAACATCCCGTCCAGCCCCAGAGGGCTCTCTGAACCACCATCAGATTTTTTCATCCCTGCTGTCTCTCACATTGGGATTTTTCTTGTTGGATGAAAAAACAGATCAGAGGGCTCTTCAAAAGCAAGATCAGCAAACTGCCCTTGCAAACAGAGAGGGGAAGAAGAGGGCAGAAATTATAGCCCAGCAGTTTTTGGGCAGCTCACATTACAAAGAGAAACTTTTAATTAGAAATGAGCTACAGAGATGACAGCCCGGTTCACTCTGAAACCTAATGATGATCAGAAGGTACAGAAGAGTTCCACTTTAAAAGCTGTATTGCTAATCCTTGCTTAGCACTAGGTCCTAAAATAGCATCGTGTCCCTTTGGAATTGGAATATTAAATGAGGGAACTGCAAGGTATGAAAATAGAAGCAGCTGTTTTTATTGCTGATCAACTTCCAGCTAATGCTCAGCTGACAGAGAGGCATGGGGTCGCGTGTGAGCCTCTAGAAATATTACTTTATGGTCTCATTCCTGGAAACTTGATAAATAGGGCAGGAAAAGGTGGGATTATGAAGGCTGATAGTACTGATGAGATGCAGAGAGCAGCTTTCCCAGGTACCTTGCAGTTTTAATCTCCCAAGTTGATCCAGTGCATTTTTCTCCTCATGTATTTGTGGCTCTGTTGAGCCCAGCTCCATCACGGGGCGACGCGAGCATCTTGAAGGTCTGTGCGCAGGGGATGTATGGCATGAGGGGTGTCCTGGCAGGCTTGAGGCACAGCGGAGAGCCCAAAAAAACGTGAGAGCTTTGCTCTGCCTTTGAAGCCAGCAGCAAGGTCAGCACTCCCCAAAATACCTTCTGAAGGGGCTTCACCATCAGCTTTGCCCAGTGTGTCTTCCTTCCAGCTGCTGCATCCACATGGTGTGGATGGACTGCAAGAGGTAGAAGGGGGATAAGAGGACAGGGTATATAGCCTCACAAGCAAAGAAAATCCAAAATATGCCTGTTCTCTGCCCTGAAGTAACAGCGTGGTTTTGCTTTCTTCCAGGCATAGTGGTGCAAAGCCTTCAGCACTGCAGTTTGCTCTGCAAACACTGGCAAAGGATTCATCAGTTGGGAGGAGGCTGCTCTGGCTTCAGTACCTTCAGCTCAAAGTTCAGCAGCTTATCTCAACCACAAAGCCCTCGCTTGCTGTCCCAGCTGTCCCTGTTGGTGTCCCAGTTGTGTCCCATCCCTGCCGGCAGCTGGCAAGGGAGGCAAGCGAGGACCTGCTGGAGCCCTGCCACCAGCAAGCCCAGCCTTGGAATTTATGAGCCCATAAAGAAAATGTCTGTGAGGACCTGGTGCTGTGCAAACCCATCTTCAGGATATCAGCGGGATCAGCCTTGAACTCCAGTGAGTTTTTCCTCTGGTTGTGTCAGGAGAAGATAAAACCAGGGGAAAATGACACAAACAGGGAGTGGGGATGGTCTCCCTCTCCAGCTGCCGGTCACGATGTGGAGTATTTCACTAGGAAATATATATGTTCACGTCCTTCCACCCTACGTCCTAGCTGATTTTGGACATCTGCCCTCTTGCAATGCCCTTCCTGCACTGGAGGGGCTGGTGTGTGTCCCCCTCCCTGGGCTGTGCTTGCTTGTCCTTCCCCCCCACCTCATGGTTGCACAATGAGATGGTGCAGAGCCTTGAGAGCAGGTGACTCATGCAGGTAGCGACATCTCCACGAGTTTAATTACAGAAACAGCACCATTTATGGTGCTGGCGTTTCCAGGAATGATAAAGAAGGTGGGGGGAGAAAGAGGAGGTGACCTGAGATGATCCAGACTTCAGCCCTCGTTCTGCTGGGGGACAGCAGTGTGATGGCACAGACCCCATGGCCATGGGTGAGCGGTGTCTGCCTTTTGTAGTGAGTGGTATCCCACTGAAAAACAGAAGCATCAGTCAGTAGAGGCACAGAGGTTCAGTGGAGGGGAGAAAGGGACCTTAAGTAGCTCCAAGCCCCATCATAAGACAGCAGAGATGCCTCCAGACCTGCGATGTGTGGCATGTCCAAGTATGAAGATGCTGACAGACAGCTTCATGCTAAGCCCCAGGGGGAAGAGACTGCAGGGGGCGGTCTCTCTCCCCATCTCCAAGCCTGAACTCTTTGACCCACAGCTCTGAAACATCAAAAATCAGGCATTTTTGAGAGCATCAGCCCCCAAAGTGTCAGCATGGGGAAACTCAGGTTGAAGCAGAGGCATCATGCAAATGGGGAGCAGCAGCTCTTGCAGGAGGCTGGCAAGACTCCAGGGGTGCCAGGGCCTGACCCTGCTCCTGCATCCTGGGATATCTTCTTTGCCATCGTTTCTCAGGCTGCTTGGATTGTTCAGAATTATTTTTAAGCCTCATTGCTTCCAAGAAATGCTGCTGTCCCTTCCCGAGTGACGGCACTGGCCGTGAAAAATGGTGCAAAGCCCGTCGAGACGTGCCAAAAACCTGGCAGTTTCTTCTGGAGGGTGTGACCCATTAGGTGCAGAATTTAAACTCCAAAAATCAACTTCAGGCAGTCAAAATTGCCAGGCAGCTACTGGTGAGTCCTGGGCTAAGAGAGGGGTTCTGAGCATCGTTTCCAAGTGGGAAAACTGCATCCCTTGGGCAGTGAGGAGAGACCAGACAGATTCACCGTGCAGCCCAACCGTGGGGAAGCGTTCCCCCCAGCACAAAGAAAAGCCACTTTGTGTGGATGGAGGGAGGTCGGGGGAGCGTTCACATCACCCTTCAAAGCGGCCAGTGGCGACAAACTCTGCCTTTTGCAGCCGTTGCTGCAGCAACTCCGCTGTCCGCTCTCCCACGGCGGGGCTGGCTGCTGCTGGCGCCATGGACCGACTGATCCCGCCTTGTGGAAAGAGGGGGAGAGGCGGTCCTCACCCTCCCTCGTCCGCGTGTTATGGCTGTCCTTTATGCAACGGCAGCGTTTTGTTCTTTCTTAGTGGAAATCAGGAGAGGATGCACCTGCGAGGATGCAACTTGTGTTACCCCAAAAGACCAAGGGACCAAGAGAGTATCAGAGGGGAAAAGCAGATGCAAGGAGTGAAGAGAAAGAAGAGGGTCCCATAAATCATCCCTTGGCCAAATGTTTCTGCACCCAAGCCATGCAATGCAGCAAAGGGAGTGGGGGTGGGGGGGGGTATGATGGATGTAAGTAGTGAAGCATGGCGGGGTTTTGTTTCATGAGCATCTGGGTGGCCACTCTGTGGTGCCTCCTCCTGCTTCATGCTCCTCTTTGGTGCGTGAATCTGGAGGACCACGTTACCCCTTCCCCGATGGTCCCCCCCGGGTGGCAGGGACACTCTGCTGCTCCTTAGTGGGGATGTCACAGCGAGGTCCCCCACTTGGGTCACCCTTTAGGGAACCATGCAGTGTGTGATGCTCCTGAGCCCCAGAGAGTTTTGTGAGGACTTAGAGTTGATGCTCCATTTTGGGTCAGTAAAGGTGTTTCCCATCACTTGGGCCCATGTCTCCCAGCCTGGGCCACGATGCTTATGTTGCAGCTTTGTCACCACAGAGCCCCTCAGGTGACACTTGTCATCAGCAGGATGAGCCCAGAGACCTCACCAGGTGCTTCTCACCTCTCACATGGGGGGTGGCCCAGGCAAGCAGAGCCAGGCCGGTCAGAGGGAGCCATGGGCAATGAGACAACCCTTCCCCAGCACACCAACATGGACAGTAGCGTTGCCTAAAGCTCACACACCCAGCCCACCCTCCTTGGTGCAAGGGGAAAGCAGAGATGGATGGTGCCCAGTGTGGGGACACCGCTGTCTCTGCTTCAGCATTGCCACTGACTTTGTGCTGGTCTTCACTGGGCTGATGGCTTCTTCGTGGTGGCAAAGGAGATGGGGCAACTTACAGCATCCCTGGGTTGGGGCCTTCCCAAAGTCTGGAATGCTTCAGGTTGTCTACAAAACACAAAGGACTTGGGTGAGAGGTGAGCTTAGAGACTGACATGTTTAGGAAATGTGGGGAATAAAAGAAAGCAGTGGATGCTTCCCACCTAAGGGACCATCATCCACGTAGCCATGAGCTTGGGCTAGGGAAGTGGTTTGCCTCCAGCTCAGCACCCTCCTGCATCAGCCCAGTTCTCAGGAGCAGCCTTGGAGCATTTCAGATCACCAGCAGTGAGAAACCTCAGGGCTGTCACCTGCCCACTGCCCTTCATGGCATGGTCCAGGAGTGCTTGAGTCCTGGGTACCATTACAGCTGCACACATGGCCAGCAGGACCCTGACCTTGACTGCCAGCAGAGCTGCCAGCCCCAAATTTCAGCAGATAGTG